GGGGGCGCCCGGTATTTTTAAAATTAGCGGTCATCAGCGGCTTGTGAGCCGCTGATGACAGCTATTAATTTAAAGGGGACAGTCTGCTGAACAGTCTGTCTAAAGCGACCATCAGCTTATAGTAGAACTGTAAATGCCAGGTCCGTACGACGTACTGAGCTGGCCAGCTGGAAGCACTTTTGTAGCTCCGTACGTCGTACGTCCTTGGTAGCGAAAGGATTAAAGCAAAGACCAAACCAGGTTACCTTCCTGCCAACTAAGAATGGTAAAAAGTGACCCTATAGTAGGCACAGGGTTAGCAAAGCTGAGACTGCAAAACCATTCCCTGGTATGATTGACCTCAATATCTGCCATATCATGGTCAGAATTTGACAGAAGCCGCATGAATTCATCTTGCCTTGCAGAAGGATATTTCCAGGTGCAAAATACACACAACCTTCAAGAGAAAGCTCCAGCAGCAGAGACTAAACCAGGTTACCTTCCTGCCAACTAAGAAGAGTGGGCAAAGCAGAGACTGCAAAAACATTCCCTAGTATGACTGACCTCAATATCTGCATCACAGACAATATTTGGCAGAAGCAGCATCTTGCCTTGTGTCACTGACCATCCTGGAAGTGCAATGGTGTTTGGAATGTGACCATGTGCACCTCTTCATGGGTACGGGACAGGTGTACCAATGCGGCCATTGAGCACAAGTGATCCACAAATAGACTGCCGTTCACAGCCATAGTCCTGTGAAGCTAAAATCTGGATTGTAGCCAAATGTATGTGGCATGTGATAAACGGAAGATAGAGTCCGTGTTTCGGCAGTTTTGGGCTTCAGCCGCACATACTAGAAGGTCCACAGACGTCACGTCTGGACAAGTTTTTTCAGAAGATAAGTGACATTTGTAGCGGTGCTGAAACATGCCCAACAGCTGCTGAGAATTCCACAGGACAAGCCATCTGCTTCCTCCAGATACTTGGATGGGTCAGAAAGGTTAAAGGGCCATGTAAACCACAACAATGAACCCGTCTATTTAGCTGGCCCATAAAAAAGAGAAAATAGAAGCATTAGGAGCTTTGTTTTATCTGTTATATAAAAGTGTAAAAAATAACCTGATGACATTGCCAGAAATCTCATGAGCTGAAAACCTCCGGATCTCGGTCAGTGCACAAGGCAGGATTATGAGGATGAAGGGGTAGGGGGTGAGGAGGGGTTATAAAGAGGAAGGAGAAGTCTGTGTTCTTTATAATGCATCAGAATTCAGAAATTAAGTGGGCAGGGCTGACACCAAAGGCTTTGGAATTCAGAGCCAAAATTTAAATGTTTTGTGATGTGAAAAGATTAACGTAGGCGCGCTTTACTTCCGGCACTTCATTATTTTTCTGTACTTGCATGTGTTGCCGGGATGTACCAAATAGGTTTTCTTAAAACCTGAACTCCAGGATAAGCAAATATTGTGCAAAGAGTCCTGTGTGTTCTTCCTGGAATCTTGCTGAGATGGGTGTATTTCTTCCAGATCTGTGCAGTAACCCAGTGTGAGACTTGGAGCTTCCTGTAATAAAGACTGGTCACTGCTGCTCTCTCCCCTTGTACAGGGTGACTGGTCTGGTCTTTGCCCCCTCCTGTAGTGGGTGGGGCCTGCTGGGTCCCTCCCACAGCTCTGCACAGGTTATATACAGCACAT